AAATGAATAATCCAGTAAAATAAACTTAACAAATGAAGCAACTGAAGTATATTTCATCATTAAAAGATATTAAAATATATATTTTCCTGTTACATATTTTGGAACATCCAGAAATTCAAAAATTTTTACAGCAATGCGAATTATTCTCACCAAAAATTCTGCATGCATTCTGATACATAAAAGTATTATGTTTTGTATTAAATTATTAAGCAGTTACTTTGGAGATTTAATACTTTATAAATGCATAAAGTTAATAAAATAAAAATTTAATACAGTTAATATAGATGAAAAGGTGTAGAAATATTTTATTTGTATAACATGATCAATATTATGTTTTGATTTCAATGTAAAAACGTTAATATTTGAATAATATGCGCAATATATATAATAAAATTAATTTTTGACAAATTTGTGTAATGTTAAATTCATTTTTAAGTACGTCACATTGTATACAAAATTAGATACGTTACTTAAACACGATTTTACGAATTTTCTCCGAGTTGCATTAATGAAAATGATATTATATACATAAAAAATCGTGAGTGCGTGCGATTAAGAACATACATCAGTGTTTACATATTGACGTGGCGCAATATAACTGACCGAAAAGATACGAAATAAGATGAGTTTTATTCGGAACGCAACAAATGCAATAATATAAAATGAAAATCAACTTACTCCTACTGCTGGTGTCACTAAAATACCTGACAACAAAATCATGGAAATGAAGAGAAAGAAGAACTGTAATTTTTGGTTCATGGTTGTAGGTTCCTTAAGCTTCTTGTTGTTATTGCATTAAGCTTGTCAGTACTCAATGACTGTTCCAGTCACTTACGCCTTTTATATGGGTAACAACGTGCGGAACATTCCAAATAAGAATTATGAAAATATTTTAAAACGCAATTCAAACTACACTCGATGGACGTTTAACTGTGCACGGTTTTCGCGACGGACGTGGCGAAGTTAATAAATTGATAGAATGACTGTGTTTCGCTATCTGTTTCTTATCCAAAGAAAGTGTTCATTTGACACATAGGAAATATTTAAAACATGTGTAATATTCTCAATGTTCACTACACAAGGTGAGTCTCGTAATATGACGATATGAGATAACTCATAAAATACGTTGTAGGAAAAAATGCTTCAGATAGAAGTTGCATTGTTTGCAGGGGGACATATAGTATTGTAATCAATTTTACATGATTTTATTTTATTATGGAGATGCGAAGGTTGCCTTCAATTTTTAAGTGCGGTATTACAGTCTTACTACATCGTATTTTCTTTTTTAATAGTCACAGTGAGTTTATATCGTATTAATAGTCTATTTGAATGCAACTTAATTTATTGTTTCTATATTTCAGTAACTATTTATTTTGGATCCGATTTGGTATAATACTTTTCATGTAGAATTTAATGTCTTACCCGAATACGAGAAGAAATGCAAAACCATTCAATTTAAAAAATTCAAGGTGACCATCATATTTAAAATAATATTTCAAATAATTATAAAATAAAACAGTGTGTCATTTAAAATATTATCACAAATAATTATGAAATAAAATAATGCGTTATTTCAAATAATATTACATACGATGTAATATTATGTGATCCCAGGCATAGAAATAGTTATTAAATGAAGTAACATGTAATCTGAAATAATATATAGAATAATGTTACTTCATGTGTACCTAGCTATGGAGTATCTGCGTGGTATAAGTGCTTTTGCACATTGTTGTTTCGTGGCACCGATAGTCTGAGTAAGTAAAATACTCCTCGTAATTTTTCTAAAGTGTCTCATCTTATCTATATTATGCATTTTAAATAAACTACTATTAAAATCCTCAAATCCTATATTCACATTTTTATCCATTATCAGAAGGGTTTCAACTAGTCTAGTTATTTCGATTCAACAAAATCAATTTAATTTCGTACGTACGTTTTCCAATCGCTCCTTTCGGAGTATTTATTCAGGCGTAACAGGAAAATGTTGATACGTAAAGTATCAGTGCAGTGGATTATTTCAGTACACCTACATACATAGGTATGTAAAACGCTCGATGTATGATTTTTCCTACTGAAAAGACAACTTTTGATACATTTTTATTGCGACGTGTTTTCCAAGCTTTATTCGAACAGTTTATTTTCATTTATTTTTAGCCTACCTTAAAACTCGTGAAACATCTCAAAGTATCTGACGATGGAACATTGGTTCCCATGAAAACGAGACGTTGATAACAGGAACGGTCTTCCTGAAAAGAATTCTATTTAATAAGAGAAGCAAAAAGTTCTCTAACCTCTTTAAAGTCTGGCAAATTCTTCTATTCCTTCCGCTGCATCTCAAAGTAAGTTACAGAAACTTGAAACCATAAAGCAACTATTCTTCTTCCTATTCGACTGACAATTAATTTTTCCAAAGAAAACAGACTAAATGATTGTGGGAATGTTCTTCTATATTCACCATCACCATTATTTTAAGTAAAATGGATCACTGTACACAATTACTTTTCCACACATTCTTGATGATTTTGATGACTTTTTTTATCTGCTGGATTTAATACGTAGCGTGTGACCTATTTAAATTGATCATGTCAAATATCTTTGATATCGTTTATAACACTAGAAAATATTTCAAACTAAATTTGAAAGGTTTTAGGGGGCTTGTAATCTGATACTAATAAGATTTTTTTAGGTGAATGCGTCGTGGACAAATGGAGTTGAATTATATTTTTTTAGTGGAATCATATATTTTTTATTATACTACACGATTCAAGTTGTAATTCTCTTTATAAAAATGTTAAGGCATTTATTGCGAAAAAATCAATTGTTTACAAGATATTTGATTTTTAGTATCTTTCAGTGATCATTCAAATTTCGTTCGAAATATTTTTTAGTATCATCGACATTTTCCAAGATATTGTTTAAGATACTTCTGATAGATTTATTATTCTCTCTCCGATGTTCTTTTTGTTAATGTAACAGCAATTTATTTCATTTAATTGCTGAATATGTGTCATTTGGTGGCGATTTATGTACACTGAGTTAAAATGGCAAGAAATCAAGGTTAATCCAACAGTAACCTATGCGACATGCTGTACAAAAATTACTCCGGTTTTTTATGGAATATAAATAATTTCTACGCAAATTGAAAGTAAGTTAAGCTACATGTACATATTTTGTTTCAGAATCAATTTAATAAGTTGAAAATGGTGGAAACATTTTTATAAACTCGTAAAATCTACTGTCTTCTAAAGCAGATTTTTATAGGAGTTTAAATAGAAATTTTAATTGCAGTGGATTATTATTATAAAGTCAAATTGTAGTATATTTTAATTAGAAATTTGAATTATAATAGATTTTTAGTAGAAATTTGAATTGTAATAGATTTTTAATAGAACTTTAATTTGTAGCCAATTCTAAACAGGGGTAAATTAACTACAATAAATTTTTAATATAAAATTTAATTATAATAAATTTTTATTTTATTATATATTTCAATTATAATCGATTCTTTATAATATGTAAATTATGGTACATTTTTATAAGTATCCATAATAGATTATATATATACACAGAAACACTATTTAATCATTTAGTATTCAATAAATTTTTTTCAATTATTAGTGTGTCATCTGGATGTGGCGTCCATTCCACATTGGTGCTCCATTTCAAAGAATCGTTGACAATTAACACATCACCGAAACAAACAAATGCATAGTTTTTTTATCATTACTATTATAATGAAAATGTTAAGCGAGAATTTTAAATAAAGATAATCAATCTTAACCTTACCTTGCTTATCTTACGAAGTAGCGGGTCTTTGCAAGCTACTTTTCTCGGTATAACAGCGCATTGTGACGACATTTGAGTGATAGATGTCGCGTCAAGTATTTCAGTTCTAAACCGGAAGACGTGTTTCTGTTGGATTTATGGTAAGTGTTTCGATTATTGTGCCCATTAAAGTAACGTCGAATTGAATCGGTTTTTGTACGTACATCTCACTTCTTAAAACATGTTAATTATATGTTAATGTCTTTTATATAAGTACGAAGTTTTTTGTAGGAAAAATAAATAAACAATAGGAAATGTGTGATAAAATATACAGTACAATTTTTGAGCGTGTTACTAAGCCCTACAAAGATGAGACGTTATTTTTTGGGAAAGAGCACATCAATTGTCGAGCATACATTACTTTTAGTAAAGGAGTTTGCACAACGCTGATCACTGATATAATGTAAACTACGTAACAATTCTTATAGTTAGGCAATTCCGAACCAACGTGCTGCGATGTTCTTATGTATGGTGTTCACTTCAATTGTCTAAACATAAACAATCTCTAAATATAAACATCTCAGAAGCAACACGTTTTTCCAAGAAATATTAAGTACAAATCCTTACATCCTTATACTGCGATTTTTTGCGTAGAAAAAGGCCACGTGAACAAGTGCAATTGATATTGATTTATTAGCTTAGAGTCAGAAAAAAATAAAGTCTCATCAATCTAATTTTTGTCCGTAAAATTATAAACGAAGTGATAACCATCACCGAGATTCTATATGAACTTATCTTTATAATTTCTTGTCCGTCGCTTATCAACGGTCACTTCCTAAGACAGAAAACGCATCGTACCCTTTATGGTCAGTGCAATTGTCTTAACAGGATTATTTGATATGTAAACTCCTATAGCAACAACATAAATTTTGTCTATAACTCTCAAATTACACACACAATTTACAATATATATTTTCAAATTAAATCACTGTATATATATTATATTTTGCAACGTAAAGAGTATTTTGTCCATTTCATTAATAAATAAAGGAAATAATCGAATAAGTAAACAAATTTTTTCCTTCATTAAATATCCTTGTAAGATAAAATTTCAAATGGATCAACTTTTTTTAAATTTGATGGAAAATGATGATATATATATATATATAAATGACTTGCATATTTTTGAGTTCTTACTCTGACAAGTTTATAATGGACAAGAAGTAAATAAATATTTTCTTTAGGTTGCATTTTGTCGGGATGATAAATTAATTAAGAAACTTATTATATATTTTTCAATTTTATTATATCAGCCTACAACGCTAATTTAAAAAATCTGTTTTCTTGATCCTGGTTACTAATATGCATACGGAAAATTTCATCGTAGTCGGTTGATCTTCATATAAGCTGTAGATAACTAATATATGCAGATGACTAACAGCCTTGTTCTGGACACTCGACCTAAATAAACAAATGTATAGAGTTATTATTATTATTATTGTTATTATTATTATTATTATTATTATTGTTATCATAACGAAAATGCTAAAAGAGAATAATAAGTTAAAGTAATCAAACACATGATCATACCTTGCACAGTTCAGCTATGCGCGGGTCTGCGCAAATATGATGTTTTGGCCATTTGCACGCAGATCGCTGCTCAGAAATAGACGATGCCAAGAATTATTTAAAGTCCAAAACAGAACATGTGGTTGTATTTGATGTGCAGTAAATTCTACCCAATTGTACTTAAATGTACAAACAAAAATGGACAGTTCATGGAGATACGATTATTTCAACCTAGCGACATTTTTTATAGTTGTTGCCAATCGGCATATATAAAAACGAGCAGCAAGGCTTAAATAATCGCATCTCCTCTTCCAGAAATGACTATTTTGTTTACGAGCTGAGGGACAATAGGAGAGAATTTACTGTATAATGATTTACGTATCACACTTGTCGCGTAGCCCGTTCTAACTGTTACACAAATCTAACAAGCCTGTACTTGTTTGCACGGAACGAGATCTGTCAGAATTCTTTAAATTACATACTAACGTAATTGATTTGATAATAATTGGATAATACCATAAAGAAATGCCATACCGCCAATCTAAAACACTTCTGAAGAATGAACCACGTACCTTCAATTTATTGTAAATAAAATCAATTTCAAGAATAAATATGAGTGCTCAAAGGAAGTAAATATTAAATATTTATACTGTAGCAGACATAAGTTTAAGACCCTGATATACGCGTGAAGAGATTAATTGTTTCATTAGATTTATGTAAGGAATATAAGGTTATATACATATTTCTTACAAAAATATAAATTGTGTTACTGAACATATTTGGAGGAATATGTAGTAATAGTGAAAAATTATTCTGTTTAGTAAGAGACAAATGTTTAAGTCTATTATTATTAAACGTGTTGTATCATGAAGAAAAGCTTGATATTATTTAGAAAGTCAATATTTCGTGGAGTATTCTCGGTTCCGTAAAACTTCTGCACATTTTTTCGGAACAGAGTCTATTAACATAATAATCCACTGAAATGTTGTTCCATGCTGTTTCTACTATCGAAGAAAGCTCGCCGAGATTTTTTGATCTTGATTGCCGCACTTGGCGTTTCACGATACCTTAATCGATTGGATTAAGTTCAGGAGATTGCGATGGCCACGGTAACAAAGTAATTTTTTCCTGTGCGAAGAAGCTTTTCACGATCTTGGACGTGTTTTGGATCATTATCCTGTTGAAATATGAAATTATCACCAAAACAGTCGCGTGCATATGATATCATGGTTTCTCCATGGTTTGTCCATGATTCCTTCAATTCGTCGAATTGGATCTACGCCGTTACGTGAAAAACACGCCCATATCATTACGTTTCCGTCACCGTGCTTTACGGTACTTAAAGTGCATCTTGGCTTTGGGTCTTCATCAATACGACGTCTAACATACCGTACACCATCGGATGATAATCGGTTAAACTTCGATTCACCAGAAAATAACATCTTTTGCCAATCATTAACTGCCCACTGCTTGTGAGCTTCAGCAAAGACGATCCGCATTTTCCGATTCTTAGCACTCAGCAATGGTTTGTTGCGAGCGATACGTCCCTTCAATCCGAACTCTTGCAGTCGTCTTCTAACAGTTCTGTCGTGAATGTGCACACCACTTGTTGTGGCTATTTCCGTTGCAATGTCCATAGCTGCGCGAAAACGTTCTTTTTCGCTTAAGCGATGCATAATATGGTCCACGTGTGCGGTAGTTTTTCGTGGTAGTTTTTCTACCTTGCTTTGGGCGATCATAGGGAGATCCAGTTTTCTTCCACTTGTACCACGCTTGCTTGCAATCAGTCGTTGATCTATTGAATACTATTGTTATTTCTAAAAATGTTTCGTTTTCTTTGCGTAACGTATTAATTACTTTTCTTTTGTCCGCATCTAAATTAACGACTTTACCCATGGTTTGGATATATGTAAGTATCTTGCAACGATAATAGGTGTAAAACGAAAGGAATACACGAAGATGGAAAATAGAGGAGAGAGGATTAATAACGTCGTGTTAGAGTACTAGTCTTAAACTATTGTCCACCAGGAAACTAAACATCGACTATACACTATTGATGAAAATCAACATTGTTTAGTTTCAAAGGTCAGGCGTTCGCAGTTAGAGAGAGCATGATTGTGTGTACACAGGGTGTCCAAAAATTATGATATTTCCGGAAAATGTGGAGTTCCTGAGGTGATTTGAAGTAACTTTTTCGTTTGCAAAAATTTTTTCCGAGCCATCGTTTACGAGTTATTGAGGAAAAACAATGACCAATGAGGGGCGAGCGCGCCTGGCGCTAGGCGGCCGAGCCAATAAGCGGAACTGGGCTTCGTGCGCTCGTTGGCTTGGCCGCTACGCGCCAACCGAGCTCGCCACTCATTGATTAGTGTTTTTCGTTAATAATTCGTTAACGATGCCTCGGAGAAAATTCTTGAAAAGGAAAAAGTTGCTTCGAATGACCTCAGTAATCTCCAATTTCCCGGAAGTATCATAATTTTGGGACTCCCTGTATTGTAGCAAGAAATAGAAAGAAACAAGCTACATGCAAACTGCATAGGTTAAATCATATTTACAACTGTCGGTCTTAAACTTATGTCCGCTACTGTACATATAGCTGCTGATAAAAATATATCGTAGATATATAAATATATATGATAACACTAGGTTGAATTTTCTGTTTAAAATAGTGGATTTGAAAGCAACTAATAATACTAATTCGACTACTCACTGAGCGATGTTTGTGCCCCAATGAAAATAAATCGGATTACCAAAATTTTCGTTATTGACTCAGATTGAAAAACGTAATTTTCTTATTTTTTTGTTACTCAATTTAATATTTATTATTTTTTTGAAAATTCTTGTACGTATTATCTAGTAAACTAGTCTTTCCAAAATCTTACAAAAATTATACTCGTGTTGCATTATTTCCCTACAATGATATCTCTCCTTGATTCTTTGAATGCTACTCTCTACTCTTATAATTACTGTTCTCGCCGATCGATAATTATTTGCGATAATTTATTAATTAATCATATATATATATATATATATATATATATATATATATATAATTATATTAATCGATAATTATCTGCTTTCGAAGAATCTTTACTATTTGATTTTCTGCTACAGATATTGTAGGCATATTACAAACAAACGTCCATATGGGATGTTTGAGCATGTAGATAACAAAAGATCAAGACCCTAAGTCTTTGATACATAAGCTAGGATTTTGAAGAAAATTCGATTGACACTACAAACAAGTTTTGAACGCAATGGATTAAAAACGGTTGTTATATAATTATGACTGGATTGTGGGAGTTTGCGCGAATGAATAATCCAGAAAAATCAAACTTAACAAATGAAACTAATATATTATAAAAAATATAATATATATAAAATATATAATATACATAAAACATATAAAATATATAATATAATATAAAAAATATCTATTTTCCTGTTACATATTTTGGAATATCAAAAAATTCAAAAATTTTTAAAGGACTGCCGACGAACATCCAGAGGATGTTGCGTGATGCCATTGGAGTAAATTGAAATATGTTTCAGATACAATGTGTGATGTTGAAAAGTCATTTTCTATATTGAAACTAATTTTTTCCGACAGAAAGCATCAATTTTCAATTGAGAATTTAGAAATA